TTATTTGGGGTAACAATAAATGCTTCTCGATCTAGGTCAATCAATGAACTTTCAATGAGGCAGCAGAATTACCTCTAAAAAAAAACGAAGAAAATACCTGAGCATAAAAATCCGCAAATAAAATCTCTGCTTTTTCCTAGAATCCTGTGTTTCAAATTATTGTCAGAGGGAATAAAAGAAGAACTTCTTTTTTTTACTGCAAAATATCCATTTTTGAAATAGAACTTCATATAAAAATTCAATCTACAATAAGGAAACAATCTGTAATATCTTCCCAAAAATGAAATAGGAAATAGAATTCATTACTTATTAACAGAAAGATTTGTTAAAGAATGTATTCGATAAACTAGTCTACGTATATCGAAAAATTATTAGTTTTAACTTCGATTTTACAAAATTTCTGAACTCAAGAATATGCTTTTGTCTTTCCTCATCTTTTTGCAGAATTAAGATTAAAATATCTTCTAAATTAATAGCTTTTTCAATAGATTAGAGACGTTATACTCTTGATAAAATCAAAAAAATCAGTTTTACAAAAACTGTATTTTTTGTTATTACGATTCTTCTAGACTATTCTAGAAAATAATTAACTTACAGTTTTCGTCGGCATTCAATGGTGACAGACAAATGAAACTTTAGTAAAACGTTTTTCTCAGAATGAAATTTTCAAAATCGGTACTAGAAATATTTGAAAGATTACTAAATGAATTTAGATAAAAATTTGTGGTAATGTTTTCGAATTTTTTCATATTTGGTGATATAAAACTTTGATTATGCATTTTTCTTTTTCTCTTATTAACAAAATGAGTTGAAAATTTGACAAAAATTACGTGTTCAACATAGTTATTACTTTTCTTTTAAACTGATTTTAAAAATCGATTTTGATAGGTACTAGCTTCTCTTGTATTTAATGTAAAATTTGCTCTACATAAAATTCCACGGAGATATATCCGATACCGCAAACGATCATGGCTAAATTGCCATATCCTTTTATCTTCGTTTAGTTCAAATTTTTAGCAATTATTAATTGAACAACATATAATAAGATGACAATACAATTTTTATCGACATATTGTTTTTTTTCTAATGAAATATAAGTTATTTTTCTAATGAAATATAATTTTATTTCCAAAAGAAATTCTTGAATTTTCCTTATTTTGCGACCATTCAAAGATATGTAATCTTTAATACTTTTGTTATAGAGAATCTTGACTTGTATCGATTAATGTGTAAAAGAAATATATAATTCCGTTTTAAAAGACTGAAGATGACTTTGAGATGTCGAAATTCCTCTACCCAGACAAATCTAATGATCATTACAAGATGATCTTCCCTCAAAATAAAACAAGTTTTATATCAAACATTTTTTTCGAATAATGAATACTTGCGGAGATAATTTAATAATATAATATATGTATGTATACATGTTTCAAAGATAAAAATAAAAGAACGCTGGTTATTCAATTAAATTTCATCAATTATGAAAATTAAACACTGTCAAAAAAGATTTTGTTCCGTGAGTTTAATGTATTAAAATATGCTATCGAATATGCTAGTCAATTGGAACAAATGTCACACTATTTTTTTGCGACTGTACAAATGTCGTTTAAGCAATTCAGAGTTAGTGGACAAACGACTCTATCATTCAAAAATATGCCAAACTCGATCATAGTAATCTGATTCTTTCCACATAGGTATCAAAATAAATGGAAATCGAATAAAATAAAATAAAGCTGAAGAAGTAGCTAATTGATAGACGAGAAATTAATGTAAAGATATTATTTAAAACACACCAAACTGCATTAGAAGCTGTGAACTTTATCTCGCTAATCTCTTAATTTAAATATCGAAACTTAAAGCCAAAAAGAAGAAAAAAATTAGTGATGCATTTTCCATTATAGCATGCAAAAGTTGATTGTATTATTATGTCGACGTAGATATATATTAAGTAAGTATTTTTTGTAATTTCATTAATAGTCATAAACTGTAATAATAAAATGAAAAATAATCATTTAGTATTTTTAAATTCCTCATTTCGAAATCTCCTTCTACTCGGATACAAGTTTCACATCGATGGATAATAGAATAAATAACACTACGAAATTTCTAAGAATTTTACTGATTTTCAATAAAACTGCGTTTTTAATTCTTTGCTTTTCTAGTCTTTCATGTGAAGTTACTTTTGCTAAATAAATCGCTTATATTTTCTACATAAGTGAAAATCAAATGGTCAAATGGAAAATTTATGTATACAATATTCGTTTATAATTTTCTAATATTTTTTTCTTCTTTTGGCTTCCCTCTTTTGTAATTTAAACTCTCGTAGTTTGATTGTTTAAGTAGAATTGATATGACATTAAATGGTAGAAATCAAGAAAACAATATATCAATGAAAATTCTATTATCGTCTTTTCCGATTTAGAATGAGAAATATGAATTGTAAATGAAGTAAAAAGACAGATTCGTCAATTGAATCAATATGATATATTTCTAACATAAAATTAAATTGCCTCGATACTTAAGATTACATCCTACCAATATCGCCTATTTTTTTTAATTTTCTTTAATTATATTTCTGCGTGTATCTATTGTTATCTATTTCTTTTTAACTAACACTTTGAAACCATTATAGCATGTTTCCAACTTTTATGAATCTGCGAAAAGTGTCTATCTCATTATTATAAAAAATAAATTACTGTTGTCGCTAATCTAAGAAGCTAATCTAAGAAATTAAGAGGTTTTGTCACAGTGACTAATTTACAAAGTTGCTTGAAAATAATTCAGATTAAACAAAGGTAATAATAGTAAAAATCATCAGAAAGTCGCGGAATTCCTAGCTGGTGGCATAGAAATCTTGTTACGTCACCATTTTCAACGAACAGAAAATATTTAAAAATGGCAAAGCTCGAAAAGAAGATACTTATCTTTCCCTAGAAAAATACAAGAGTATTTTAGCATTACTAATTTTTGTTTAATATAATTAAATTTGAAATGAAAAATGCGTTTGAGACATTTTTCAAACAACTAATAGTTTCGGAGATAATTGAATTTATAAATTAAAATAAAATACCCTGTATATATTATATTATAACAATATATCATATTATAATATTAATAAATGGTTATTAACTTTCACGACCAAAATTTAGTACTTAGATCTTACAGTATGCTTTAAAATTAAATATTAACGTAGAGATTAAATATAAGATAAAGGACAAGGTAACAAATATAAATTAATAACTAATAAACTCACCACTTAAAAAATAGAATCTCCTTTTCATAACTCAATAAACTCTGTTCTATCACTCGACTGATTCTGTTGTTTTCTCTTTGGTTCTTTTTTCTTTTTTTTTTTTTTTTTTTTTCTTAAAACGCCTCTTGTCAATGTCGCACTTCTTCTACCATCACATTCATACTTTCCCTTTTTTCACGCATTTCCCTTTCTTCATTCGGCGAACACTACAGGCCATTTGGTATAATTAAACGTAATTAAAGGTATAATTAAAGGTAGAATAACTGCAACTAAAAGTTATGATTTAAAACTACGATCCTATATTAATAAATTGGAAAATCTGTGTTTATGAAATAGGATTACAATTTGAATATCTTATTTCAAATTTCATAATAATATAACATATTCTGAATATTGGTATAAATATTGGTAATATTGGTAGAAATATTTATTGTTTAGAACATTATTTTACAAAACTAGTTTTATTTACATCTGATAATACATCTTTTCCTCTTTAATTTATATTATTGGGTACAGGTAAAATAAATTGTCACACCATGTATAGTTTTAGTTGTCAATTGTCAAATGGCACATTTTATGAATTATTGAATACTAAAATATTAAAATTTATAAACGCTAATTTAACTATCATGAATACTAAAATATAAAAATTTATAAATACAATTTATTATCAACAATGTACAAATATCATATATTATTATTATAATTTATTTTCAAATCTCCTATTTAAAAAGATCAATAACTGCTTACTTGAGTAATAAAAAAAATTTGATTAATTAAAAATGGCTATTATAATTATAGGAAATATTAAAATTGTCATTTCTATATTAAAATATTAAATATTTGTATTTGTACTTATTTAACAATAAATATTTTTCTACATTATTCTATATTAAAGCGAGACTATTTAAACTTTTATATTAATTCTTTATTTTACATACTTAATATTAATTTCTTAAAATATATCAGATTTTCAGAAACGGAAACGAAAATTCTAAGAAACAATATTTCAAATATAGTGACAAATAAAGTTACTAATACCATGGACATGAAATATCTAATATACAAAGAATATTTTGTGGTAACCTCCAACAATCATTAAAACTTGATGGTCGTCATAAAATTCCTGTCTTAATTCTCTGTGAAATATATTGCATATCTCAATTACATATTGCACCAAAATTTAGCTTTTTATGTCTTTTTTACCGTTCATTGTAACCACTCGTCACAGCGTGCTTTCTTAGACGAAATCTACTAAATTACATTTTCGTGTTACCATTACTTCTTCAAAAATCACAAAACTAGAAAAAATCTCAATCCTATTTTTTCTTTGATTATTCACATATTAGAAAATTATAAATCGATATTACACACACTTATTAATTTTAACTTGATATGATTAATCACGTATGTCATTTACGAATTTTTTAAAATTTTAAACGAAATTTTTTTTAAATTTAATATCAAACTTGAGATTATTTTGAAATTCAATTAATTTCAAAATTGAAAATAACTGAACAAGATTTTCATAATTGTTCGAGAAACGTGTCTGTAACATTCTACATTTTTTTTAAATTGTGTAATTTTCATCAATGTGATATTATTTTATCGCATAATTACATTATTTAAAAGAGTTTAACAATTTCAGCCTTAAGAGAATTAAGAAAATCTGAAATTGCATCCCCGGATTATATAAACAATTATCGCACCATGATTTTAATTTATCTTATGATTATTATAATTTATCTCATGATATCTTAAAATTATATTATAAAATTGGTACTAATTTTGAATTTTACGATCAGAGTTTTCTTTGGATAATATTTTATAAAGCAAAGTTGCAAAACGAATTATATAATCAATCATAAAATGTGTATATTGATTAATATAAAGGCAATACTAATTGTAAGTGATACTAAGAAAATTACAAAATGTATATAATATTTAATCCAAAAGTAATACTACTTAGCAAAAATGAAAAGAAATATTCAATGTAAATATTGTAATCTTGAGTTAAGGCAGATAAACATATCAATGCACTTGTTATTAGACTTTATTTCGTGGTTTCTTTATTCATTGTCAAATGATCTTACGTTAGAAGTTATGCAAACATCTGTTATTTTATTAAAGAATTAAAAATATATAGCATTTTATTGAAGAATCTTTTACTATTATTAAATAATTCTTTATTGCTTTAAAGTAAATAAAATTCTTACATCTTTAAATCATTTCTGATTTAAAACACTTAATTAATTGTAATTTAAATCCATTTCAAATTTGAATCAATTATAAATCATAAATGTAGAAAGAAAAATTATATTGCTGTCAGATTTGTTTGAGAATATTTATACAGAAATGAAAGCAATGATATATTGATATCGTATAATATATAATGATAATGATAATCGACGATAATTGAAACGTTTTCTGTGTTACGTTTATCATCTTTAGAATTAAATTTAAACTTGTAGCACTAAATACTATCAAAACTTACCATTCGTGCGATGCGTTCCGCTTCCGCCTTATCAATGCTTTCATGTTCATCCTGGTCGGTCCATGTCAGTTTGTGCACAGCTTCGATCAAATCGTCCAATGAGATTTGATTGTCGCCGTCGAAGTCTGGAAATGAAGGTATTAACGATGTCGTTGTTCGTATTGGGTTATCTGACTGTGCGTATCATCCAAGCAGTTCAATAACCTAATATATGTTTCTTTATACAAGACACTTATGAAGCGAAAATACATTAAATTCATATGAGTCGCCGTTCACGTTATGTACATTATATAATGAGTAGCATAATTGAACTGCAGATTTTTATGCATTTATGAGAAATTTAAACATACAAAATTTCACAGAATGCATGTAATATGAAGAAATATGTCAATCATTCAAAGTACAATGCTTTGATATGTAAAGTAATTTTCTATCTATTTTTAGTGTATGAAACAATTTTTTAATTTTGTTTTATTTTTTTTATTTTTTAATTAATCTTATTTTGCTTTGTAATTACTTAAATAAAAAAAAAATTACCCAGAGTACAACAATTTAAATTAGTTTTTTCTAATTTATTTTTGTATGATAATTTTAACTTTATGGTTATATCTGCATTTATATATAATATTTAGTTTAATACGATGCAGTTCTTATAACAAGTTCTTATTATTATCCCATATTATTTTGTTGTATACATCATTATCAATTTATGTATATAAATAATAAGATATTACTTCATTTCATCGTTGTAATAATTTTATCAAAGGAAATATCAAGATTTTGTTTTTGCTTTTTTAATTTTTACTTAAATTTTTGAAAGATACTTTATAGAAGATGTTATAGTTTTTAGTTTCTATAAAAGCTAAATAAAAGTATTATCAATCACATATCAAAATCTATATTCT